GAGAAGGATTCAGTATGTACCAACGATAATGATCGGCAAGGTGAGTGGCTGGAGTGATGGACAAAAGGGCGTTAGATTTTCCAGACCGAGAGTTGGAGGCAGTTCGAAGGCAGTTGATCGTAGCAAACTTCGGGGACGAAGTTTAGTTTAAGTGGGGGAGAGTTGTAACACCCCAAAGTTTGGAAAGCCAAGAAAAGAAAGAAAACCTCAAGTTTAGGGGAGACTCGGCGAGTCCATGGAGGGACTCGACGAGTCCGAGCGGGATCCAGGTTGTGGTGAAAGCGACCGACTCGCTGAGTCGGCCAAGGAGACTCGACGAGTTGGGTCTGAATGAGGAAAACCCTAAATCCGGGAACTTGGAGCCTATTTAAGCGTCTCATTCTCCTTCCTAGGGTTCCTTTACTGCCTCTTTATCCCAGAACACCAAACCCTAGCCGCCATATCCGTTTTTGAGCTAGATCTTGCCTTGAAGAATGCACTAAAGCTTGGAGGAGGAAGAAAGACCTTGGAGGTGCAAGAAGGGACTGTAGATCTGGGATTGTGGAGTCATTTCAGAACAATTGGAGGTAATAAGTTGTTGCTTGGACTCCCTTTGCACCTAGATCTATTCTTATATGTGAGTTTTGGTCATTTTTAGTATGATATGTAACCAATCCGAGTTGGAGGTTCAGATCTGAGGTTGCTACCTCAGATCCATGTTTGTTTTGGGTCTTGAATCCCCTAAAGTATCAGCCCTTGGTATGTTGAAGAAGTATGTTTGCCATAAACCCGAATTTAGTATGTTTTGAGCATAGATCTGTTAATCTACACGTAAAGTTTGCCACTTTACGTGGGGAATAGTCCCTAGAAGTATGGATCTATGAGTTGGAAACTCTGTTTGGCTCGAAAAGCCACTGCATGGATTGAGGACTGGATAGACTCGGCGAGTCCTTCGAGTGGACTCGGCGAGTAGCTTGAAGATGAGGAGGAACTCGACGAGTAGGATGAACAACTCGTCGAGTCGGATGAAGTTAGGCATGGACTCGGCGAGTTGGATGAACAACCCGACGAGTTGGTTGAAGATTGTCTAGGACTCGGCGAGTCAGATCGCGAAACCCTAAACCCTTCGAGTTGAGACTCGAATCAGTGAGTCGGGTGGTGACTCAGCGAGTTGGACAGGACAGGACTTGGACCTAGTTGGACTCGGCGAGTCATGGATTGACTCGGCGAGTCGAGTCGCGAATAAGAAAGACCCAGAGCATATGAACTCGGCGAGTCAGTAGATAGACTCGGCGAGTAGGGTTGACCCGGAAGGTTGACTTTGACCAGGATTTTGACCTTGACCAGAATTGACCTAGTGACCTTTGGAGGTCAGTTGGACTAAGTGTTATATTGATATTGGTAGCTTGAGGAGCTAGTGGAGCAGCAGTCGAAGTCAGAGGTCGGGTAGCAGTCAAAAGGATTAGCAGCAGCAGTTCAGCAGCATCAGGTGAGTTTCCTTCCAGTAGGGACGGGTCTAAGGCCACAATGCCGGCCCGTCTAGTTAGCAGTAGTTTCCGGACTTCGGTCCGATGCAGTAGTTAGTATGTTTGATGCCTTCGTGACTCAGACAGGATTTATGTGCTATGTTTTATGTGTTATGTGTTATGTGTTCCGGGCTACGGCCCGATGTAGTATGCAGTATATGTGTTCATGCTAGTTGATATGTTATGCTATGCTATGTTCAGTCAGTTAGCCCGAACTTCGGTGTGATGCAGGGGAAAAGGTCCCAGTCAGTTTCCGGACTTCGGTCCGATGCAGGGGGAAAGGCCCCAGTTAGCCCGGACTTCAGTCCGATGCAGGGGACAAGGTCCTAGCCAGTTTCCGGACTTCGGTCCGATGCAGGGGGCAAGGCCCTAGTTAGTCCGGACTTCGGTCCGATGCAGGGGACAAGGTCCCAGTCAGTTTCCGGACTTCGGTCCGATGTAGGGGGCAAGGCCCCAGTTAGTCCGGACATTGGTCCGATGCAGTGGGCAAGGCCCAGTATGTGCTTTATATGTTGTTGTATGGTATGTGTTAGATTGGGGGAGCTCACTAAGCTTCGTGCTTACGGTTTTCAGTTTTGGTTTCAGGTACTCAGTTTTCAAAAGAGGAGCTCGGGGAGATTGCAGTGCACACACCATAGTCAGTTAGCCTGAGAATGTTTGACTCTGATAATGATATTATGTTTTGAATTAATACTCGAGAATTTATGTTATGACTTATGATACATTTTTTATAAATATGATTCTAGTAATGCTTTTAAAGAAATTTTTTTGGTCGTGATGTTTGGGTCGTTACATGGTGGTGATGAAGACATGAGAAGAAGCATAAGGATAAACATTGCATAAATCTATCACGATCTTCGCCTCAATTTAACCTATCGTTTTTGGATGCTTAATCATTTTGATTTTTATATATCTTGATCTTAATATGTCACATGAACATGAATTGGAAAGTTAATTTTCATACAAAAACTTCTTAAATATTATGTTTGAATCTTTGTGTTTTTAAGTTTTAATTATGGTATTATGTATTTCCTATATTCATGTAATGAAATATTTAGTTTAAAAAAAGTGTTTTTTTTTTCATGTGATGTTAACCCATCTCATTTAAATGACATGTTGTGTTGTAGTATGACAATATTGATATAGCAATGATAGTACTACCAAAAAAAAGATAAGGTGGCATGGTGGCATAAGTCTCTATTCTTAAGACTTACCCTTGTAAGTGTAATGGTTATTTGTGTGTGGGAGGTAAATGTCCACTTAAAAAACTTTTTCACTCTAGTGATTAAAAAACTATATAAAAGGTTATTCAAAAGTAAAAAGGTAAAAAGAAAAAATCGTGTATTTTTGTATATTTTTAATCGGTTGATAACATCAGTATTATTTAAAGCGATATAAAGTGAAATTCAAATGAAATTGAAAAACATTTTGTTTTCTAATTTAAATATGATAATAACATCATGTAAAATTTTCATAAATTTGTACCGGTATGCATATAACTAATCAATTTAAACATAGTTATTCGTTTCACTGTTAGCCAAGTTCTGAGTCGAACCAATAATCCGTAACAACTAAGTAAAATTTGACATTTTCATTAGGAGTTGTCTAAACCTTAAATGTCAAAGAAACGACATAATTATATTTTGCAAAAAAGGCTACGCGGCCGGTGGTATAAGGTGTCGTTGACATTTTCATTCGAATTGCCTTGTTTCACCTCTTTACAAGTACTATCTTTATGATTTTTCAATGTCATGTTTCTAGAAACGTTATAAATCTTCCCATACTTTTTGCAACAGCCTTTTTTATCTATTTTTCATAATGTAATAATTGAAATTACAACAAAAACTAGGTTTTAGGAAGCTAGTTTAATTTCAAAGAATCTCGTGCCTAACAGTAATAACCAAAAAAGAGCAGTTTTTCGGTTAGAAATTAAGGTTTTTTTAATACGGGTAAAACTCCTATGAAAAAAAAAACAGATTTTATGAAATTGGCTCCAAGACGGATGGTTCGGATAAAACTAGTCCAGTTATTAGAAGTTTATATAGACAAGCCCATTTTGACCTGTAAGAAACATTTCTTCAACTTTCTTTTGGTAAATTTATTCAACCTCAAAGGCGACCCACAAGACTATGTCCAGAGCCTTTCAATGATTCAATACTTATTTTTCACAGTTTTGGTTTTTACGTTCTTTGTGGTTAAACTTTTGGATGAACGTTTTTTTTTTATGTATATTTCTTTGTAGATGTAGTCCTCCAAGTTAATCCCCATTAATTCTTGCTATTAACTTCTTCACGTATCCCACAATATGGCAAATATGTCTTTTTTTTCTCTTAAAAGACCATTTTTGCATAGTTTAAAAATGTTTGATCATTTTCCCTAACATTTTCTTTAGCTCTCGAATCCGTAGTGAGAGGTGTGATAAACTGAAATAGAAGAAATGTATATATAATATCATTATTAGTTATGGTTAATTAGATAAAAGATATATATTGGTTTTTTCAGATTAGACCGTAACTTTTTCTAAAAGCGTTTTTATATTTTTTCATTTTATCGATTTGGCCTGATATGTTTCTATATTTTCGATTTATTCCTTATATTTTATCATTATTTTATTTGGCCCTTATATTTCAGATTAAACCTCAATTTTATTTCATTTAAAAAATATTACTTTTTTGTGCAATACCGATAAACCTACTAAAATGACCAAATCGAAAAATAGCAAAATATAAAGGTTTTTCTGAAATAAAATAAAATTATGCTTTTATCCTGAGAAAAACCTAATGTATAAAGTTTTTTATATAACTACTCTATTAATTATATATAAAATTTTCATTTTAAATAACGTCTTAATGGCATTTAAAACCTTGATTGTAGTAATAAAATTTTGTTTTGTAGACGCAAATATGTGACATGAAAGTCCCAATAATTAAAAAATGGATTTTCTAATATGTGTTTTAAGGGCACATATAAGAAGTATTAATTAATCACAATTATTATTATAATTAAATATTAAACACATTAATTATAAAAAATATTACCATAATTAAATATAAAATTCATTAATAATCTCTATAATTAATGCATTTCATATTTAATTATGGTAATAATTATGATTAATTAATACTTTTTATATGTGTCCTTAGAGCACATATTAAAAAATCCCATTAAAAAAAACATTCCATAAAACAATAAAACATTCAAAATAATCTTTGCTATATATAGTTGCATTAATTGCATCATTCAATAATTGAAATAAAGCATAACAAATTACAAAAAAAGAATAAGTGGTAAAGACCCACCAAAGCTTTATATGTTTGTGGAAAAATCTTTAGATAATGACCACAAACACCACAATGCTTATGTTTATGCTTATTGCCAGCTATAAAACAAATCCAACCCAAAAATACATCCTTTTAAAAGCACCTCTTCCTTTAATGTTTGGTTGTAACATTATAATGAAATATCAAAATACTCAATAACGAAAAAAAGGAAACATTCCAAAACCATATATCTCCATATAAGAATAAGAATAATATCACACGATTATTGTTACAAGTGATAAGAATTGAATTGATGGATTTAAACACACACCCACCCAAGAAAAAGAAAAAAAAACACCCATCATGCTTCTTGCCAGCTATAATAAATTTAAATTCAAATAAAAACAACACTAGATTTTTAAAAAATATATATATTAAAAAAAATCAAACCCAATAATATTTTATTCCACTCTACAAAATCCATTTCCTATAATATAATATAATATATTTATGTACAGCCAACCAAACTGTTCATATTGGAGTTGAAGAACCTTCTTGCCTTTGTTCTCTCAGGTACCCAAGTAATCTTTCAACCTAAAAAATCAAAAATATAAAAGATTCCATCAAGATTTAAAGATTCCATCAAGAAACTATAATAATGTTAATCTGTAATGTTATAATGATCAATGCAAATTTCAAGATTTCAAGATTACCTTGTGTTTAGCTCTGGCGGTTGACGTCTGTGAAAGAGCAACAAGCGGCGGAATTGCACCTTCTCCGACCAACAACCCTCTGTTTCTCCCGCTATTAACACCTTCTTCACACACCTGCAACAATGTCACCACCGCGAATTCTTTCCCTTTCACCGATGTACCATCCTCAATCACCTCCACCAACGCCGTAATCCCACCTTCTTCCACGATCGCTGTCTTCCCTTCCTCTATCGCCGCCAAGCTACTCAACACCACCATCGCTTTCTCCGCCATTCCGACACCCGTTTCCCCGGCAACTAGCTCCACCAAAGGCTTCACCACCCCCGAAGATACTGCTCTCTTCTTGTTCGCCTTCATCGAGCAGAGCTTATACAGAGTGGTTAACGCGTCTTTCTTCCCTCGATTAGAACCATTGATTAGGAGAGATACCAATGGAGGAATAGCTCCGCAAGCTCCGATTGACGCCTTGTTTTCGTCGACCAAAGCTAAACTTAACAACGCACAGGCAGCGTTTTGCTTCGAAACTTCCGTCCCGGTTTTTACAACATAAATTAGGGATTTTACAGCTTCCGCGTTGGCAATTAGTGGTTTGTTATCGTCGAGGAGAGATAGATTAAGTAGCGCAGTAACGGCGTGCTCTTGAGTCCAAGGGTCGGTACACCGGAGAAGTGGAATCAACGCCGGAATGGCGCCGGACTCTCCGATTAACGCTCGATTATCTGATCGGTTCTTCGCTAGCAGTCTCAGCTTCGCTGCCGCCGACCTCTTCACGGCAACGGAACTCGACCTCAGACTATCAACACAGATCTTAACAGTCGGCTGTAAATCCTCAGGCGAAATGCTCTCAATTATCTCCGTTGAGAAATTCTCCCGTTGCAGAAACCCTTCACAAGGCTCCGGCTCCGGTTTCAGCTCCCGGTTTTCATCATTCTCTCTCGATTCCTCCGGGAAAGTGGCCAACCGTTGTAATTCTCCCGATATATCACTACTGTAAGCCGAGAAATCACTGAAGGCTTGAGAAATTTCTAGAAAATCGTCAGAGGACATCGTAGAAGACGCTGATTTCAACGGCTTACTGTTGCTCCCGCAGGTAGCTGTAGCGAGCTCCTGCAAATGAACATCGATAACAGAATCAGTAAGGTTTTCATCGTTAAAGTGGGTTTCGGTGGATGTGAAGGAACACGCGTTGCTGTAATCGGATTGGTGGAAATTTGAACGAATGGTTCTCATGGAGCGACCCATATGTTTGCTCCTGGAAGGTGAAGAAGAAGATGAAGGTGGTGTGTAGTAAGGGTAAGGTCGAGTTATGGAGGAATTAGAACGACGGGTTTCTTCAAGAGATACCATTGAAGCAAGCTTGAGAGGGTTTTCAGTTTTGAATTAAAAAAGATGTAGATTTCAAGTTCAGTTTCATGGTGATGGAAGGATTTGGAGAAATGAAGGGCATGAAAGGGGTTTTTGTGGTTGATTTTGGCCACTGGCATAGAACCACTGCCAGCTAAGCAAGGCTTTGGAGTTTACGCCTCATATAAAAACACACATTTTTATGACCATTAAAAAATAATAAAACTTTTTGTTGAACAAGATAGAAATTTCAAACAAGAATATTACATTTTATAATTATAATACAATGCAAGACAAGAAGAAAAAACAATAGTGATACTTGATATATTTCTACTTGCTTTTTTTAATCACAAAGTCAATTGCTTTTCATATTAAATCTATATATTCTCTTAAAGTGAAAGAAAAGGTAAATAGGTAGTTTATGTCATTTCAAATTGTTAACAATAAGCTAAAAAGTAATGTGTATCCACTAACCTTAAAAACTCAAAAAATTTAATGATAAAATGGATAACATGAACTCAGCTGTATAATAATTCAAAATGGAAAGCTTTAATATGGATCACAATGAAGTGGGTAATCGGTGAATAATATTTGTGTTGTTTTTAATTTCAATATAGAAAATTATTATATTAGGTATTATTAAAAATTGTCTTTTAGTTTTTACTTTTGTTTAATAAAAATATTTTAAAATATTTTAAGAATTTGAACCATATTAGTCTATTACTAAATTTAATATATTATAAATAATATAATGATACAACTTATACATTATTACATTATTATCATGTCATGTCATCTTCATTTTATTTTTCTCTTATCACATAAAACAAATGTTCTAAATAACGTAAGGTAAGATGTGAGTTGGCGGTAATGTCAAGCTTCAAACTTTTTCAAGCTGTGGCAAGCCACGTCGTTTGAAATGTGTGATTTAATGCATCAATTTTGTATATGATTCATAATTTTATACATATTTTCTACTATTATTTATTTTTATATACATATATGACCTAAGACAACAATTTGTCAAAGCTCAGCTGTAACTCCAAGCCTTGGAGCCATGGCGTGTCATAGCGAAGCGATGACGAGCTTTTTAGAACCTTGTATAAAACTGATGGATGATGTAACGTCTTATTTGAAATTACTCGGTTGGGGCCTCAGAAACCAAAGGGTAGGGGCGATTTGGTCTTTTATGGGTCCCATATTTTAGTCGAAAGGTTTTAGGCTTGGAGGTGTCAAGGGAAGCGTAGGGCTTCCCGCCACCTTTTCGTGGATATAAAGTTCGTCGGAAACGGACTTAGAATGAAGGAGTTATGACACTTTGTCTTTATTGTCGATTTTAGCCATTAATGGAAATTAGTGACAAGATGATCCCATGCATGCAAGGTGGCCATCACAAGAGTACGCCCAGCGTAAGCTGGGGTACGCCTAACGTAGAGGGCAGGAAGAGTCGCGGGTGTTGGAGACGTACGCCCAACGTATGAGAAGTACGCCCAGCGTACTCCCAGAGTCCTTAAACCTTAATTTTTAGGGTGTGCCACAATATAAAGAACATTATACCCTCAAGGGTCGGCCTCCTTCTCACCCTTAGATAGTTTTGACGAAACCCTAATCCTCTTTGAGTGTTCTTGGAGCTTGGAAGGCTTTGTGAGAGCATTTTGGTGTTTTGGAACCACTCTTCAAGGAAGCAAAGGTCAAGGCAAGGTGTTGATGCAAAAGAGAAAGTTCAGATCTGGGATTCTTGCTTCGTTACATATCTTTTAAAGGTATAAAGTCATAAGCTTGATGATTAATCTCTTAGATCTCTCTTAGGGTGAGTTTATGGACTCTTTTGGTCCCAATACTGGACCTTTATGACTCAACTCATTTTCTAGGTCCAGGGTTGCCACCCTTAGTGCCATATGAGTCCCATAAGCAGTAAAGTTTCAATATTTAGGGCTCATTCGAGACCATGCATGATATCTAGCCACTTCCATGGGAGTTTATTACTATAATCCAAGTTTGGGTTCATTTGGTGGGTTGCAAGTCACCAAGTAACTAGCTTTATGGATTAAGACGTTAAAAAGAACTTGGATCTGTAATTGCAGCTTCTGGAATAGAGTATTAAGCACATAATGGGAAAGTGACTTAACAGGGGGATTACATTGAGCGTACATGCAGGTACGCTCAGCGTACTCTCCATTTAGCTTATACGCTTAACGTACATAGGAGTACGCCAAGCGTACTTATCAGATATGGGCTTGGAGTGTTTTGGGCCTCGGGTTGGGCCAAGCAGTGGACTTTGGCATTTGGGCCTTAGTGGACCGTCATAAGTCAGATGTTTTGGGCTTAAAGTAAGGCTTATTAGAGGGGTTGGGCCAATTTGGCAAATTGGGCCACTAGTGGGCTTCGAAAGCCTACCTAGTGTTGGGATTTTGTTTTGGGTTTGGGCCTAAGTTTGGATCCTACTAGGCCAGGGGTAAAATGGTCATTTTAGCCCCATGTAGGGATTAAAGATTATGGTATGGGACCCAGTTTCCATTTGGGTATATTGATCGTTGTTGATGGTTCAGGAAGTAGATGGGGCAACGGCTATGGACTTCTTTAGGAAACTTCTGCATTCGAGGTGAGTTTTCTCACCATACCAATGGGTCTAAGGCACCAAGGCTAGCCTATTTTATGATAGTTGGTATACTTGTTGTGTAGAGGTGTGTAGCATTGTTATACGTTGATATGTGGTAGAGATAGCTTTTACAGCTAGTGGTAGAGATAGCCTCCAATGTTAATGGTAGAGATAACCTTCAGGGCTAGTAGTAGAGATAACTTTGAGGGCTAATGGTAGAGATAGCTTTCAAGGCTAACGGTAGAGATAGCCTGTATGGCTAAGGGTAGATATAGCCTTTGTGGCTAACGGTAGAGATAGCTTTATAGCTAATTGATATGCATTATGTGGTATAGGTAGCTTTATAGCTAGTTGATATATGTTATGTGGTTGAGGTAGCTTTTATAGCTAACATGTTATGTGGATTGTGTGTGGGGTATGCTCTGGGGAAATCCACTAAGTTTCGTGCTTACAGGTTTATTTATTGGTTTCAGGTACTTCAGATCCCAGGGGCAAGGGCAAAGCGTGATGGCGCAACGTGCACTCTCTCGCAGACATTTTCGGGACACTTTGATGTTTGGAATAAAAGTTGTGTTTGACTTATGTTTTGAAAACAATTATAACTGGATTTCTTAATGTACGACATTATGTGTGCTTGTCCAAAAATGAAAATTTTACTTTGAAAATTGGGTCGTTACAGATGAAATACTATACTTTACTATATATATATATATATATATATATATATATATATATATATATATATATATATATATATATATATATATATAATTGAAATAAATATAAGTTAATAAAACTGATAGAAGGGAAAACACTTCATTAATTTAAATAAAAACATTACACAACTAAAAAACGACAATTAAATAAAAACACTATATAAAAAATGGCAATTTTTAAATAAAAACACTACTTGTAATATTTTTCATGATGTTCGTTCTAGTTCACAAAACCATACCAAGCTCGTTTCCGATGAGATGATCAAAGAGTTTTGTTAAAAATTAATAATTCTTACTTCCTTGTTTCTCGTCTTGAGCTCTTTGTTTCTCATCTCTAGCTTTCTTTTTCTCCTCTAACTTCTCATTTACAAAATTCAAACGACTTTCAAAATTCAAATAATAAAATTTGAAATTACTAGCAACACTGTGAATGTCATATATTTTCATGTTCCCGATGTATTCGATAAAGAACCTCTCTTTTTCGTGTTACCTTGACTCATCGGTCGAACTAGCTCGTCAAACTCGAGCTCACCCACTTCGTTCCATCAACCCTAAAATGTGCATCCGATGAAGTGTTACAACTAATTTCGGAAACTTTGATTCGTTTCGAACCACCTTCTTCACTACCAAAATATTCTATCAATTTTGGGGATTTGGATAAAAAAAAACTTCAAAATATTGAGAAACTTGAATGACTTCTTATTATATCAGCAAGAAAAATTTTAAGGATCATCTCTAAAATTTGTTCATTGTCTTTCCCATTTTTCTGTTGAGTTTTCAAATTGTTGTAAATGTCGTTGAATTTTTTGACATATTTGTTTATCTTGCAAAGCTTGATAATACATTGGTCTTTAGAATGATAATCGCCACGACCCACCACTCTAAGAAATCGCTTCATTATGCATTGCCAAAATGGTCATCTTTTTGCGTGTTTACCGCACACTGCGGTGCCACATCACATATCGTTGCGTGCTGTAGGTGACATACCGAAGGGTGTTATGAACTAGTTTTTATTAAATTTATTGAGTTTCTTTTATTTATATATATATATATATATATATATATATATATATATATATATATATATATATATATATATTCCAAATATATTTTTAATTAATTCTATTTTTTTATTTTAGTTATATTTGTAAATGTCTATCTTTATTATTTTTTATTTTGTAATCTAGCTTTTACCAAATATTATTAGGTCATATGCTATCTTATGAGCTACTAACAATTTTTTTAGCTAAAAACTAAATTTTTATCTTGTTCATGACCATAAGATCATAAAAGACACCGCATTTTGGGGTTTTTCAAATTATATCACAACTTTATTTATTTTTCTACAAAAGCTCTTTTACTTTTCTATTTATTCGTTTTTGACTATTTTAAGAGGTTAGTGGTAATATTCCGATTATAGGCAAATTATTCTGGAAAAATCCTGTGACATCCTCAAAACCACGGCAAAAAAAGACCGATTTTTGTTTATGCTTTGTAAAAATCAGAGTACTTCATTTTATAAAAAGGTTGCGGAATTTGTTCCCAGAAAAACATGGTAAATACGTTATTAAAACATTTTCGAAGAAACGTATTTATTTCATTTTAAAATGTTTGGGATGTCATCGTTAATACCGAAACATAAGCATAAACAGAACTTACAATGATTTACACTAGTGATCTACATCTCTTTTAAATCTCTCAGTGTAATGTCACTTCACTTCGTCACCTGTGATATACATAAACTGAGTGGGTCAGGTTGGGAAACCTGGTGAGTACATAGGGTTTTCAACCCACAATAATATAATTACTATGTTCAATCAAACAATCAACCCAATTACCCATCCCCATTATCTTCTTTACTCTTTAAGGATTTAACCTAAGAGTCATCTATCCTGCATTCGTTTATTCCGAAGTCCCTTACCTCCAGGGTTATAGGACTGATACTAAATCCATAGCTGCCAATGTTCGTTCATAAAGCACTAATTCCATAGCTGCTATGGTCTATTCATCAGGTACTAAATCTATAGCTACCAGTCTTTATCTAATAGGTACTAAGTCCATAGCTACCAATGTTCAACAGGTACTAAGTCCATAGCTACCAATTACCAACAGGTACTAAATCCATAGCTACCAACGTTTAACAGGTACTAAGTCCATAGCTACCGGTGTTTGTCCCATAGGCACTAAGTCTATAGCTGCCAATGTATCATCTTCTATCTCTCATCATTCATCTACCCATCTCATACCCAACATATTCGTATATATAAAATACTTATACAGCTTAAATTCTTTAAAACATGTATAAAACGTTCATCCAG